TCAGAATGGGCGAGCAGATGTGGGTGTTCTTCGGGTGCCGTAGATAGTTCCAGTAGCGTCATAAGATCCAAGGACTGTAACATCGTTCTCACTCTTCCCTACTGAACTCGTGTAGCGCTTGCCATTCATAAGGTCGAGAAATGGCAGTCCCTAGATTTTTCATGCTAACTGAGTATGTTGTCCTTGCATGATTATTTTGCGTGTTATCGTTTCCACTGATATCCTCTACTGATTATCATCTTTTTTTGAAAATTGGTCCTCGCACAATAAAGCTTTCGACTTCTCAGCTGTTTTTGACCCCATGTTGCTTTGCTCCTTCTTTTCTTTACTGAATAAACTGAGCAGAGAATTCATAGCACAGAGAAGCGCTTTCAGGGATTTTTACCACCAACATCAGGATTCCGCACCTCAACAAAGCAGCGGTAGTTGGGAGAAGGAGGGCAGGTTGGATCTACGCGGTTGCGCGACCACTTCTACTCTACGAAACCGGGCAGCAGTGTTAGTCAAGTCGTCTGCACCCTTCTAAAACTGACCCTCGGCAGGTAAGGGGGTATAACGGAATGAGGGGAGGGGTGCACCGCATTCATTTCTGCTCTCCGAACTACGTCAGCGTCCATAAATCGTCCCACGTTTCCAGATACATCTTCACTCCCTCCGCTCTAGGGAAGATTAGAGACACATTCCGCTGTAGATCGGTGGAGTTATGCAATAACCACAGCGCCTTAGAGTGCCTCTATAACTGAATCCATATCCAGCGCCAACATACTGTAAACAAACAAACAACATTTCGGGTCGTATAAATGTAATAAGTTGTCACGTGTCTCGGGCCAACCGTTTGCCGGTGTCCTCAAGCTGTACAGCTCCGCTCCAGGAGAACAATACTATCAAGCACGACACTGGCTTAGACGGCCTTCTAAAGAGCAGGACAAAAGTGTTTCCCAAAATCTTTGTGAATCGGTCATTACTCCGCTCTGGAGTGAAAATGCGGAAGCGCTCGATGTTGCGCGGCTGGCGTGTCACGTCGCCGCGCAAAATGTCCTGGACCCGGTCTCGTGGGGCAAGTCGAATGTCTTGACACACATTTGAAAGCGCGACATATCCCGAAACACTCTTTATTCTAGAATGTCTCCGAAATTTCTTACGTGAAAGGTTCACGTTAATAGAAACCGAGCTCAATCGCTCAGCTGCCACAATCGTAGCACATGCCAAAGACACACAACCGAACATCTCCACTTTTCGGGAAGCTTGATGCGTGGGAGATTTTGAAAGTATAGAAGTGACATCTTCCTATCGCTTCATCGCGCAATGTAAATCAGCAAACGCTTTAGGAAGAGAGTAACCTCATAGGAAGATGTCAGCGTGCATTAAGAGGGTTCATCGAGCGAAATTGGGATTGCCACAACAGAGTCTGGGATTTTTGGTTAAGCTGAAAACAAGCAGATCCTGCGAATTACCATCCCTTCAACGCTGTCAGCATTGTAAAACCATGTGAATAAAAGTAAAAAAGGCAAAATAGTTAAAACGTACCTGGATATCAGCTCACGATGTTCGTCCCTCGCACGGTAATTCAGGTCCTGGGATGAGCCGAATACGGCGCACAGTTCCTACGGTCCTACGTTTTACTATCCTCACCGGCTGAAGACGAAGGGGTGA